CATCATTACATAAGGTAAGTATTGGTCCCAGTCGGAATGATGCTCATTGACATACGCACTTAGCATGGTAGCTAACGTTCTGTTAAAACGCTCCACCATTCCGTCTGATTTTGGGTGGTAGGGTGTAGTTCGTGTTTTGTCAATATGCAGAAGCCGACACATCGCGTGGAACAGTTTGCCCTCAAACTGTTTTCCCTGATCCGAGTGGATAGCTAAAGGTACCCCAAACCTTGCAACCACTTCTTCGACTATCAACTTTGCCACGGTACTTGCTTCCATGTTTGGCATTGCAAAGCTTTCCGTCCACTTTGTGTAATAGTCACTGACTACAAGGATGTATCTATTACCATCCTCTGTCTCTGGCAATTCCCCTAGAATGTCTGTGGCGATCCTTTCCATTGGCATACCGGACTGGACTATTTCCATCGGAGCACGTTTCGTCTTGAGCGGTCCTTTACGTTTACGACATTTGTCACAACCAGCTATGTAGCTTCGCACATCCGCTTGCAGGACTGGAGGTCTTCCCATCTCCTGTATAGTATGTCAGAATCGACTACCAATCGGTCATATTGCGACCAGAGGGACTTTATGACAAGACTACCTCCTTCGATGTCCTTGTATGGAGGTCGAGTCTTATCATGTACCCATCTTTTCACAGTTTGAATTTCCTCGTCTTTAGCTTGCAGAGAGAGTAGAGAAAATCCTCTGCTGTCTGTATCTGGTGTCTTGCTTACAACAGCTACATTAACAGAGCCAGTATCCATCTCTAAGGGCTGAACCATTCCCTCTATGCTTGGGTCAAAACCGCATTATTTGCACGGTAGTCTGCTCAGTGCATCTGCGTTGGTATGCTTGGCTCCAGGTCTATGTTCTATCTGCATGTCATATGCGCTGAGGACTTCTATCCATCTGGCCACCTGGCCCTCTGGGCNCGTGCACTACCTGTGGTTTTCCCTTGAGGCCACAATCAACCTTATACGTCAGATCTGAGCACTTTTCTAAGACCTTGTATGGCCCCCACCAGTAGCTAGTGAATTTCGGAGACTGACCCTGTTTCTCCCTTGGAAAGAAAACGTACACCTCATCACCAGTTTTGAAAATATGCCAGTTTAATTTCCTGTCATGGTAACTTTTCTGTCGCACCATCGCCCCTTCGGTCTTTTCTCTAATCAGCGCATGGGCCTCCTCCATCTTTTCTTGGAGTTCCCAAACCCACTGGTGAGTAGGCACCGATTTTACAGATCTGGGCATCCCGTACATGATATCTAGAGGGGTACCCACCTCCCGACCAAGCATAAGTCGGTTCGGCGTACAGCCTGTCGTCTCATGCTGTGAGGATCGATAGGCCATCATTACATAAGGTAAGTATTGGTCCCAGTCGGAATGATGCTCATTGACATACGCACTTAGCATGGTAGCTAACGTTCTGTTAAAACGCTCCACCATTCCGTCTGATTTTGGGTGGTAGGGTGTAGTTCGTGTTTTGTCAATATGCAGAAGCCGACACATCGCGTGGAACAGTTTGCCCTCAAACTGTTTTCCCTGATCCGAGTGGATAGCTAAAGGTACCCCAAACCTTGCAACCACTTCTTCGACTATCAACTTTGCCACGGTACTTGCTTCCATGTTTGGCATTGCAAAGCTTTCCGTCCACTTTGTGTAATAGTCACTGACTACAAGGATGTATCTATTACCATCCTCTGTCTCTGGCAATTCCCCTAGAATGTCTGTGGCGATCCTTTCCATTGGCATACCGGACTGGACTATTTCCATCGGAGCACGTTTCGTCTTGAGCGGTCCTTTACGTTTACGACATTTGTCACAACCAGCTATGTAGCTTCGCACATCCGCTTGCAGTCCCGGCCAATAGAATCCTTGCCGTATTTTTGTAATGGTCTTGTGTAACCCCAAAAGTCCGGAAGTTATCGAGTCATGACACTGTTGCAAAAATCGCCTTCTCTCTGATTTGGGAACAATTCCTTGAAGCCAACTTTTCTTTGACTGGAGGTCTTCCCATCTCCTGTATAGTATGTCAGAATCGACTACCAATCGGTCATATTGCGACCAGAGGGACTTTATGACAAGACTACCTGCTTCGATGTCCTTGTATGGAGGTCGAGTCTTATCATGTACCCATCTTTTCACAGTTTGAATTTCNTCTCATGTCTGACTATATCTGTGCGCCCTAAGTCGCTATTAGAAACCGCAAAAATGTCTGTATATTCCCCTAGAAGTTGGTCCACATGTTTAGCCTGCTCTGAAGTGAGATTTTGCACTGTTTTCTCCAACAGGTTTTGCAACTCAGTATTATCGCCCGTCTTGGTCGTATTCAAAGTTCGGCACGTATCAAACACTTTTCCTACCGGCGACAGCTCTCCTACCACTGTCCCAGCATAGATAACCTGCGGTTCGTCCGAGGTGTTCATTACACGAACTGGCAACATTTCCCTACATTGTACCAATGTCCTGGCCACTAATGCCCTCTCTGAACTCAAGAATTTCTCAGCCGGTTCAACAATACCTAAGCCACTATACCTATTGCATCCTGCCTGCAACATCTTTCCTGGCAAAATCATTTCTGTACAAGGGGGGATGCTAACTGTTTCAACCACTGAAATCCTATGACATCCAAATGGTCCTTGAAACACAAGAGGTACATTTCTTCCCCTTATTTGTAAGCGTTCCTGCTTCACATCGATCACTGCATCTACTGCTTCCAGAAAATCGAGACCGAGAATTCCTCCCTCCACATTGATCTCTGCCACAATCAGTTCTAAGGTGAACATATCATTCTCTATTTTTACATCAAACCTCCCTCTACCTAGCAAGACAAGATCCCGGCCTCCGGCCGCTGCGACCGTACATTGAGTTGCTGACAGAGCTGGCTTACTCTGATCTGGTAAGCTATTGTAATATTTAGCTGACAACAGAGAGAGTGACGCTCCTGTATCAACAAGACATGTTGCCTCAGTACCCTGAACATGAGTCCGGACATACATGCCTGCTTCATTGGCGATAGAGCTAACCCCTATGTTTGACCTGGGTACATTTGCATCTCTCCGCTCTTTCCGCATTTGCAATCTTTTTAATGCTGAAGTGCCCTTCGGGTTGTTTACTCTACCATCTTTTGCCCGTTCAAGGAACTTTGAGCAGTTCCTTTTAATATGTCCCTTTTCCTTACAAAAATAGCAAGTAATATCTTCCATCGATTTCTTTCTAACGCCAGGTTGTTGTTATCTGCCTTGCTTGAAAAGTGTCATATCCTTTTGTAGTGCCTCCAACTTTTATTGCAACAAAGTCATGGCCTTTAGAATATCAGACTGACTGTTCTCCTCAGAGGTAGAGACAACACTGTCTATTGCACTTGCCGTGCGCAGTTGCCCCCTACCTTCCCGGTGACCATGCTCGGCTCTATTGTAAGCTTCCAATTCTACTGCGAGTCGGATTGCATCGTTGAGGTACTTGGGCCTTGACTGTTTAATTCTAATTCTCATTTCTGAATCAAACAAAGCATCTATGAATTGCTCCTTTGCAAGAGTTTCCCTTACATCACCTGGCGCTGTAGGGTAAGCCATGCTAACTAAGCGTCGTATAGCCTGTCCGAGCTCCGGTAATGTCTCCGAGGCTTTCTGACGTCTTTTCCGTAGCTGGACACTATATAATTCGGTTTGGTCGGGGGGTGCAAAGCGCTTCTCAAGCGAGTTGACAAGCATTTCGTAGTGCTGATTAGTGTCAGCGGGCAGATCCCCTAGCACACCCTGGGCTTGGCCGCGGAGAGATACAGCCAAGTATAACCCCATTTGCTCTTCTCCCCAACCGTTAATCCTAGCGCAGGTGTCAAAGTGCGTTTTGTAATCTTTCCAGGGTCCAGTTCCATCATAGGTAGCAGGTTTTATACGTACCCCTTGCTTTTCTTTGTCAAAGCCTGAGAGCGGCAACCTATCTAATCCATAGTCCGTATCTGATGATGTCTGTGGCCGGCTACTATATCTAACCCATTTCTCTCTTACATTGTCCATTGCCCGACGGGTACTATACATTCTTTCGTCCTCCTCGTAGTCCGAGGGATTATACTCGGTAAACTTTACCTTTGGCTTTGCAGCAGCCTCGGCATGCTGTGCCCTACCTGAGCCAAAATGCTTCTGTTTATGATTTAACTGTATGGTTTCATCCGAGTGTGGGCGATTCGCCCTGTTGGTTTGTTGTTCACTGGCGATCCCCGAATCCCTTGTTCTTGTGTCTCGTGGTGTTAACAGTGGCGTAGAATGGGACATCTTGTCGCCTTGGCCCGATCTCTGGAGCCTCAAAGAGGTTATCCGCTCCTCAATACGACTAATTTCTTCCTCTATATCCATTATTAAAATGGTGTATTAAAATAAAATGAGCATAAAATCTACAATACAGCGAATCCCACCGCTGCCGCCAATTTTGTAACGTGCAGGGGTGTCCTTACAACCCTGGGTCCGTCCTTAGTATATACTTGGGATGTACTGTATTGTAAACTATACCGGCGCACTGGCTTGGTCAACGCCGTTGATGAAAGAGAAATAATTACTATATGATACAGCAACAATAACAATATCTAATTTATACTGAATCAATATTATGTGCACTATGATTGTTAATTGCAAGGTAAATATATATAGAACAATACTAACAATGCACGCTCACTATCTGTCAGCGAATAGGCAATCACACTCGCCCCTGATCCTATCACTCGACTTCACACAGAGCAACGGCGCCCACCCGCGCAGTTGTCAACCACAGCGCAACGGCACTTGTACAGTGCGCAGAGCAACGGCTCTAACCTGAGCAGTTGTCTGTTCCGCGCAAAGGCACTTATGCAGTGCCAAACCCCTACACTTACTCAGTGTTCTAGGTAGTACTGAGAAAACAAATAGCCAACCTGAGCCTTGTCCAGGCTCTGTTGCTAGTTGTTTCGTAGCACCTTTATTTCGGGCCTCCCTACTATCCTTATACAGGATTTTAGTATTACCTTCTATTTGTCGTGTAACAACTTTCAGCTTCCGGTGTATCTTCGAAGTCCGTCGATGAAGTGCCTAGCTTACTAGTCCGTCGCCGTTTATATACCAATGGACTATACTATCTTAGGGTAAAACAGGTTATTCCATTTCCCTGACTTCTAAGTCACGAGTATATTTGACTATAATGTCCCAATCTATATACAAATAACAAACATGCAAACTACAGTGATCAATACTTTAATTGAGGCACACGAAGGGGAAATTAACATGAATCAAAACATCGTTACATATACATGAATGTTAATACAGAGGATAGCAACAGAAACATGTGATATTTATGAAACTCCTGAGCAGGGTATACATGACTGTTACTACAGAGGGTAACAACAGAGACATGAGATATATATGAACCTCCTGAACAGGGTATACATGAATGTTACTACTGTGGGTAACAACAAAGACATGTGACATGTAAACCTCCAGAGCAGGGTATACATGACTGTTAATACAGAGGATAGCAACAGAAACATGTGATATATAAACCTCCTGAACAGGGTATACATGTATGTTACTACAGAGGGTAACAACAGAAACATGTGATATATATGAACCTCCTGAACAGGGTATACATGACTGTTAATACAGAGGATAGCAACAGAAACATGTGATATATAAACCTCCTGAACAGGGTATACATGAATGTTAATACAGAGGGTAACAACAGAAACATGTGATATATAAACCACCTGAACAGGGTATACATGTATGTTAATACAGAGGATAGCAACATAAACAGGTGGTATATAAACCTCCTTAATAAGGAATACAGAAGTTAAAATAAACAAAAGTACATACTTTTATTGGTTAAAATATAAACAAAATCAAAAATATGTATTATTGTATTTGTAAAATTTGTTTATGAAATAAGCCTAGTTTTGCTTGGTATAGCGTTCCAGGTCAATATATATACAATACATTGGGTTTATTAGATGTACAAATAACACAGAAATAAGAGTAACAAAGGAACACAATTTTATTACTCGTACGATTACCACCTTTTCTCTGCAGTCTTCATTTCAGTATGTCTAACATGGTTACCCTACCATCATGGGGTTACGAGCGCCAATATCGTTCTCCATTTTGCGCTTGTGGGCGCCCTTAATATCATGTACATCTTGTATTTCTTGGTACAGCTTAGTCGCAGTCTTTCAAGCATCCTAATAGTATTAATGTTTACTATCACGTGATATTACGACAATATTTGACTAATTGTCATTAATACTATTCAGATACACTCATACAATTACAATTCTACTCTAAACATCCTCCCATGCTAATGAAGTTCCGTGTGATGGCATTTACCTGTACGATGAATGAAAACATTTACCAATGCAATAAAAATATCAGCTGTGTTATTATATTTACATGTACAGTAAAAAAGATAGGATGTGTTGTTACATTTATCAAAGTAATTGAAAAGGTAAACTATGTGTTATGGCATATGCCTGTACAATCATATTGTTAAGAACAAACAGATCCCTGCAAATATTCATTGAATCAAGGGATGGTAGTCCAGACGGGTAAACATCTTCTGCTTCATCAAAGACACGTGATGTACCATAACAAGTTAGGTCAAAATCAAGAAATGTCATGTCCTCAAATCGAAAACCGGAGAAGTGATTACGACAACACAAGATACATAAATTTGCATTATGGAAAATGGACATTCTATTTCACTTTAGATGTAACAATCAATTGGTCAATCAAATTATTTGCGACAGTAAATCCACGATATACCGTTCGCAAATTTCTCCGTTGCCTCGCCAGTATAAAACAATTTGCGACAGTTTAATCACAATACTAGATCATGAAATTTGGAACTAGCTCAAAACAACTGGATATGTCAACACTGCAAGGGGAGAAAACAGGAATTATATTTTGAAGAAAGGGAAAATTCACGATCGAAAAATATATGTCACCTCTTTTATCAAACAGTTAAAAATGAGTTACTGATTTAATATGTGTAGGATAGAATATATGATTGACACGGTCAATAATATAAGTACTGATACGTTTTTCAATTGAGCCTTATATAAAAACAATAAAACAAGCCGGTCAGAAGAAAAGCAAAATTTCTTTCCCTAAGGAATGCCTAAAGACTGCTGGAAAATTACGTACATCCCCGTTATATTTTGCCATGGCATTTGTCTTGTTTATTCACAAAACATTCTAGAAAATAGTTTTCAACCCTGCATTATATAGTGCACTAAGCAATGCTTCATGCCAAAAGTAAGCTGAAAAATTATCCTTAAAATGTTACCAAAAAAGTTTAATTAATTAAAAAGTAAACTAGGAACTCATCATTCTAATGATTTTAACTTTAGTTTACTTTAGTATAACATTTTCTTCGTCTATACTATAAAACTTACATATAAGGAATATAGAATTATAATTGGAATATATATGTTTCCAAAGTAAGGCAATTAGAAATGTTATACAATCAGTACAATGTATTACTCTCAATATGGAGTTTTTTTAATTTTGTTTATTTTAATTTCTCACAAGAGCAAAGTCATGCCTACGGTGACTATTCAGAGGTATGACTGGATAATCTTTGAGCGGAAACGGTACCCTGTGTTGTGGTTAGCTTACACTGGGGACCTCGCTGGACTCCGACTATGCCTGGAACATGTGAAGGACGTTACAGAGATCAGGGACGTCAACACCAATACGTCCATCCTGGGTTGGGCAGTGGTCGGAGACCAAGTGACCATCATCAAGTACCTGATTGACCGATATCCAAAGCTGTTAACGTTAACCAACAAGTATGGTGCCAGTCCACTCTTCTTGTGCTCTGTATCAGGCAACGTGGACATGTTCAAACTGTTTGTAAAGAAAGGGTTGTCTCCACACATGAGAATTGTTCACTTAGACACTGTCCTCATGTTAACAGCATCCAGAGGCCACCGTAGCCTCACACGCCATATCGTCGAAACCTACCCTGATATGTTGAGGAAAATATCAAATGATAATATGGACGTGTTTCTGTATTCTTGCTACTCTGGAAGTGTCGACATGTTTGATTACATGTTACAACATAACCTTGACCCCACTGTATCGGACATTGACGGCATCAACTGTCTTATGATTGCGGCATGGTGTGGTCACGAAATACTTCTGAGATACATTCTGAAAAATGCAAGTAGACTTAACATCAGCATCCATGCAACAGACACTGACGGTAATTCTGCTGTGCTTTACGCTATGTATGGCGAGCATTCACATGTTATCGACATCCTGTTAGAAGCTGGAGTAGAACCACCAGGTATGTGGAATACTTCGTTAGTCCGTCCTACGTTATACACAGTATGTCTATTGCAGGAAATGCTGCATAAAGACTTTTTGAATAGGGATCATGTTGACATCTGATTAAGAAAAGTGAACACGAAAAATCCATTTATTTCGTCTCAGAATTTTTCATAGACATGCATTTGAAAGTAATATGTTGATTTGATCCTTCCATGTAATATAGAAAATAACAAGAAACATTCATATAATATTCAAATATAAAACTGATATGGATAGGCACATACATATACATATTAATCTTTTCTGTAAATTGATGATGCGAATTATAAAAAGCAAAGGTACCTTTACCGTTAGTTTCATAATGTAAGGATTTGGGTCAACATTATTATTTCTTGTAGCCAAAATTTTGTAACGAAACATTGTTTTATTTGCACCTTTCCTTTTTTTGCTGTAATCTATTTATGTTTTTGAACACTTGAGTGAGAACTTCGGTTTTCAGTCTGTTTTGGTATGTTTTTGACATCGTACAATCTGTTGTCTATACAGTTTGTTGAAAGGACCTAAAATGTATCTTGGAGTCATATAAGCATTTTGTGATTACTTTTTTTTAATATTTTCAGAGAATATATCTCATCAGCTCGACAAGTATCTGCGGCTTTTCTCTGGACATAAGGAGAAATACAGACACGTCCGAGTAGTGTTTGTTGGTCCAGAAAACGTTGGTAAGACCACGCTCTGTCTTCGACTCCAGGACAGACATGTGGACATCAGCGTCCGTCGTCCGACCATGGGGGCCGAGCTCTTCCTGCAGCTGTACGAGATAGGATGGAACAGCAAGCGATGGATACGCATGAAAACGGACAAAACGGAAGCGGTGATCCAGAAACGGTTAGGAGCAATCCTCCGAACAATGAACGACAATGACATCAGTCCTTTAGGTAACGGCTCTTTCGGGTTTGAACTTTATTATAAGTACGGTTTTTTTCCAATCTGATGATAAGGCGGGTATAAATGGGAGATTTTCCCAATGCTTTTCGCTTTTCACGAACAGTAAATACTGTAATGAACACCAAAATAGTTCAACTGCCAATTTCGTTTTCATTATTCCGTATCATGTGAATTACAATAAAGGTAAAGATTTGTAAAGAATAAAGGTTATAATGTGAAAAACAATAGCAGATATTTTATTCTATTTATTTTTATTGGATACAGTCACGCTAGACTTGCCGGTACCCAATAGACTATCCCTATTAAACCAACAAGAAAGTAAGTAAATGAAATCAAATCTTTTGTCTCCGTTTCGTCCAGATTTACAATGTATGCCTAATGTTTTAATTCCTAGTTCTCAATATGAAAATTACAACTCAAAACTATTTATTTTGGTACATCCAAAACACACTTGAAACTAATTTAGGACTTCCATAATGCTTATAATATAGACAATTAAGTAAATCGTCTTTTTACAATTGTCTGCTATCAATTTGTTTGTTGTTGAAGCAGGAACGAAAGTTTTAACATTAAGCACGATCACATTCATTTACTAGACTTTTTCAACCAATCCATCACCAATCACCTTCGCACCTGTAAATCTCAATTCTGTTTGCAATAAATGACCACTGACGGGAGTGCCACGGCCTGTTACTATATAGCATCAGTGACTGTCATTCTAAAGTAGCGCGTAAAGCTCCAATCAGGTGAGAGGTTGGCGGAGCTGGAACTCACCTGGCCTCACAAATTTGTCATCGATCACGAAACAACAGCGCAGACAGTGCTGAACATTTGTCCAAAAAAGAATATTATCACACTAGAAAAAATGAAATAGATTTAGAGCCAGTCTAGTTGATCATCTCATCGTTCATAACTTCCCGAGCTTTATTTATGTTATTTATTGTTTAATTGAACACAGGCAAGCCAGGGGTACCAGACGACCAATTACAATCGCAAGATAGTAAGTAAATGAAAGCGAGGCCTGTTTTCTCCTGTCTGTGTCCTGAACTGTGTCTAGAAATTGTTGTAAAACGAAAGTACAATGACCGTTCATATGTTAGATGACAAGATATATCGGTATTTGAAGGATTATTAATACTAGCTTAAACTTAAATCACAGTTATTCGGTTAAAATTTTCTACTTCTCTGGTTGTTCTTATGACAAGTTCTTGATAGTGAAGAATTATATCTCAGTATTTTTGATGGGAATAGAATGAAGTAAGATAATTAAAAATCAAACGTATATATAATCATTGGGGGTGTCATTTTTACCGAAAGTCGATCTAGACCCCTAAAACGTGTGAATTTGCTCTGAACACCTCAGTTTTAGTCCAAAAATAGCTTATCAATTTCTCAGGTCCCTGTGCTCTTGACTACGAGCGAGGGTATTGCAGTTTGTTTGGAGCACAGGGGCATGGATCGCTTTACTTATAATATTAAAAATTAGGGGTCTCCTATACTAATATATACAAAGGGATAAGTAAAGCGATCCATGCCCCTGTGGTTTGGAGGTGCACCTGTGTGGCTGAAGGTTTGTTTGCGCATGTTGGGCGATGCATTTCGTTGGACTGAGTTTGTTGCGGACCCCAGGGATAGCGTAGGGCCCGGGGTGTGCATTCGCTGACTTGGCGAGGTCTAGATCTGGGGTCGTCGCTGGACAGGACTGTGCGGATGTGAGGAGGAAATGGCATATTCCCAATTTAAGGCCTACATACAGGTTTTTTTACAAATAAAATGCATTTTTTGAAAGAAAAAAAGAAATCAAACGATTTTATCCAATATATTTTGTATTCAATTGAACAAACATTAATATAATGTAATGTATATTGTTGGTTGTGTCATAGCGTTAAGGAATGTTCGAGTTAGGGAGACTTCCTTAGTTCACCAGTATTCCGAGCAACAAGATGAGGACGTGGCTTTCCTGTCAATGTGGGACATGGGCGGGGACCAGGCCTTCCAGGCTTCCAACTCTGTGTTCATCAGCGCCCACGGAGTCTACATCGTCACGTTCAGGGCCATTGACTACTTTACTGACGACATGCAGATGGGTGAGTATCTGTTGTGTCGTCTGACATGCAATACGTCTATAACGAGTCGAGTACATGTGCTAGCTTTAATGGCCGCATAACAAGAACAACAGTGGAGATCATTCTAACCGTCCTATGGTATACACGTAGTGTGACAGCAAATGCTTATAAGAAGAACACTACATTATCCATTAAAATATTTCACAAAGTACAATGCTTAACACACCGAGTGTCATATCATACACATTAGGACAATTACGGTAAACATTTCTAGAATCATTATCACTAACAGATGAATGCAAGACACACACAGGTAATTGCACCTATAAAATCTGTCAATACAAGTACGAAGTAACGAATCACGTGTTCAAAAATAAAGATCATGCAGAAAGTCAATCGAAGTATACATTAACTGCACCGTATGAACATTACATAAAGATCGACTTATCAGTTGTACAAGTCGTCAAAAGAATTTTATTCATAAAGTAATCAGAGACATATACAAATTCAGAGGAGGGAATGATGTCTATGAAGCCATTTATAACGTTTAAATTAGCAACGTTTAGCTTCAACAGATTATTTCCTCCTTAAATAGTATTTCAAGCAAACTCCACAGGAACAAATCCAAGTAGCAATATTACTGCCGCCCTCGGTGTCTGATGGTCCATCGGCAGAGTCAACCTTCTTATTATGAAAATCAATATCACGAAATAAGATGTAAGAAAACACGAAAAATGCTTAGAGTTTTTAAAATGAGGTATAGCATGTGTTCAAAAGCAATATATTGTGCCATACGCATTCGACAATGTCTTGATATCAACCCTCTTGAACCTGAATCCAAGACATTACATACTTTTCTACCGGGGTTCTTTGGGAAGATAAAATAATATGCACTTGACCTAGATCAATACCACAGGTGTCGTAAGCCAAGCCGATGATGCCTCCTTGAACACCAATTCTCTGTTTTACTTTTTTTCATGGACATCGTATGATTTAAGTAATATAACCCGGATAGTCTCACTGAAATTATATCCTGGTTTACTACTAAATTCCTACGTATTTAGAGTATCGTTATAAATCCTTATGTTATGATTTCAATAGACTGAGATCGATGACACTAATTTTATGCCATAATGCCAGATTAAGAATGAGGCATGCGTCGTTTAAATAATACTGTGCCATTAAGACACTGATGTTATTGCCTTACTGAATGTTTATAGAGAGACTTAAGAACTGGGTACGGAACATTGGGGCCTACTCTCAAGTATACAACCCAAACAGACGACGTAAACATCTCCCGCCAATCATCTTGGTTGGAACACATATGGACAAGGTCAAGGCCATGTGCAAGGTCAGAATCGGTATTACATTTTAAACCTAAAATGATTGCTATTATTTGCTGTAAAAGAAGTAAGCATTTTTAACTCAATTATGAGACACTTAAAAAAACTCTAACTGATCATTTTTAATTTCAAAGAAGGATACATATTTATTGAATACTCTGCATTTGGTCAGATATCTTATTTAGCGTAAGCTTGCCAACAAGGCAGGATTGCCCCTTTTTATATTTTATTGTTAAACTAAATACAATAAACAATGACCATAAAATCCCACTGCTGCCACAAAATGTAAAGTACCGGCGGGCACCCATCCAGTACTGACCACTCTCGACGTTGCTGAACAAGTGAGCGCGCCCTAGGGTTATACCATATAATTGGAAAAGCTTGCTTGCCAATAAGTCAGAGTGTTAACCCTCTTCTTCCTTGCTTAGTACACATATACGTCACTATTTATAACACTATTTTACACCATTGTATCAGTATTTCTCTTTACCTAACTAATTATATTTTATAGAACGTTATTTATCGGTTATAGTTTGGATGTTGTCAACCAGAATCATTATTTGTTCACAACGACATCTATTTATCTCTATCAGGATGACACTAGAGTGGAAAAGGAGAAAAAACTTCTTGACATGCGAGATATGATGTGCACCATCAGCGAACTTACAACGAGAAGAAAAACAGAAGGACTTGTCTTCCTCAAATTCTGCACGGTTGACAACTCCATTGATGATGACCCAGCATTTGAGAAGATCAGGGGATATATCCTGGAAGCGGCGGCCTACCAGGACCAGTGGGAACGCGAACTGCCAGTGACGTGGCTCGCCCTGGAGAGGGAGATTCTGGAAAAGAGGCGGCAGCATCATAATGTTATCACATTTCAAGAAGTCATGGACATGGATGCCGAGTGTGAATTACCGACAAAAGACGAAGAGGAAATTCAGATTTTCATAGAGTAAGGTCACACTTGTCCAAATACATATATATACAGCAAAAATCCTCATAGCACAATAAACAATATAAACAATAAAAATGCCGCTTAGACATTACTGATACGGGTCTATTTATCAGATAATTATAAAAACTAATAACAATTTTTCTTCTTTAATTTATATGGTTATATCTTGTTGCAGATACCTTCATTCCACAAGGTGTGTGCTGTACTTCCGGAAATACAGGAAGGTGATAATAAACCCTCAGTAGGTCATAAATGCCCTTAGGGAAATCCTCACGGACGAAAAGTTCCTCCCTACCGACGACCTCCTCCTCGCTGCTGATCTCATCAAATTCTCAAGAAACGCTATCCTGACAGTGGATCTAGCAAAGATGCTGTGGCAGTCCAAGGAAGATAATTCGTACATCCAGCATGTCGACATTCTATTCGCCTTCCTGGAGGAGTTCGGTCTTCTGGTAAAGGCGTTTCTTGGTCAGGACAAGGAGGGGAAACCACTGTACGATGATGACTACACCGTACCGAGCAAACTCCAAAGGGCACCAGACATGAATCGAATGTCAGATCTTCTCAAAGTTAAAGGAACAGTTTGTTCACGAACGCTGTGCCTCGTATTTGAGGATATCTTTACTCCTCAGGAGTTGTTCGATCGGATATATGCTGGAATCATCACGACGTTTAAACCAGGGGAGGAAGCTTCCAGAGGTAGCTTCAGCCAAACCAATCTAGATAGGCAAATCTACAAAGATCTTGGCTGCTTCAAGATAGACGATCTCTGTAACATGGTCGTTAGGATGCAGTGGGAACAGTCTATGATAGCGGTCACGCTGTTTACGACTTCAGAACCACAGATTCCTGACGACACTGGGAGGAAGGTTAGACAGAAACTGGAGACAATCATACGACACACTCTAGAGGTTAGCCGCCAGGAACACCTTGAGTACAGGTACAAGCTTCACTGTAGATTCTATCTGAAACCTTCCGACAATCCGCGAGAGGAAGACGGGATAGTTAGGACAATGAGAGGACTACCCTGTCAGGGAGAAGGCTGTTCAGGGAAACACATCCTCACAAAACGTGACTGGCGCGTATGGTTTCCTGAAACCAAGGTAACATATAAGTTTAAATCTTACATCAGGCTGATATTAGGCTTGTTTGTTTTTTGCTAAGTCAGCGTTAAATCACTAGTTTCATTTTAGCAACACATTCTGGTACCGCCTCGTCATAGGTTCGGTGCGGTATACCATTTTATCAAACAGTTTCACATGACTACGGGATCTTCATTACCCTACCAAAGGATCTTTGAATACGTTCGTGCATTGTCTGTACACCGCCAAACACAATTACCATTACTTCGCCCGTAAACGTAAGAATGTATCAGTCATTAAGAGAGGTTTAGGTTCACTTAATACGCTTTTTTATGCTTAATAGTTCACTCCAGACCTTTTCTGTTTTGTTGTCTGTCATACGCACGAAGGTGTCGTATGAAAATAAGGCCAAACCTCCTCGCCTATTTATTCCACTGCCGAAGCCCTAAGGAGACATCCTAATATCAGTTAACATTGATGTGAAACAACACAGGAATAAGTAAAATTAATACATTTTTAATCTATAAAAACGGAAAATGTGAGAAAAGAACTTTTTAATCCAGGAAAACATATATTAGACAAACACAAACTTGATGATAGATTCTATTGACTAAATTGATAATATTGAAAACACATTCCGTTTTAACTCATGAAAGTTCAAATCATTGAAAAATTAATAATAATCTGCAACATTTAAAAAAAATGTCAAATAATTTAACGACAAAAGAATATATTAGAAATGACAATTGCAGTTTTTGTCAGGTAGAGCCATCAGGTTTTTTTTCAATGTTTCAAATTGTCTTTCTTTTAACACTGCACCAAAGTCGCTGCACCGAAACCAAAGGCGGCGATTCCTGGATTTTTATTTTTAACAATACATTTAAGCGATGCTTGTTATCTATCTCAAAGGTAGATTTCACAAATGATAACCTCAGTCGTCGGAAATGTTAACAGTTTGCTATCGATATCTGTACGAAATCACGGTTGCTACTTCAGGGTATCGAAACCAAAGACACGATAATATTATGACTGAATGTTATTTTCGTTTCTTTTTGTTACGATACTGATATATTCGGTAGTATGACCTATACAGATGACACAAACTTACAAATGTTTTGCTTTGTTTCTAGAATATGGAGGTCAAAAAAGTGAAAAAGTCGTATGGTAGGTGTATTTTTATATTTTTATAGTTCTATGGTGACGCCATTTTTGCCAATTATACAGTGACGTATATGTACAGTGGGGTTTTTTTTCAATTAAAAGAGGCTTAATGTGACAACTTTAAGGGCTGTGTATGGGATATGGGTCGGGAGGTTCTCTTGTGATGTACTTTGTACCGCCACTACTGGTAGATGAGAGTGTGTAGGACAAATGAGTATTTGTATGAGAAATGCGTCAGTAGGTGTAGGGCTATGCATGTGATTGTCTTGGATCTGTTTGTATGAGGATAGTGCTGGGGTCTATTGCAACATGACGAGGTACAATTTTGTATGATAGTGCAAGTCTTTTGTTTGTAGTCTGCTCGTGTGTTAGTGAGGGCCAGCCTTGTATATCCATCATGCACCGAGCTTGTATTGTGTTCGTTTTTGTGTGTACGTATCATGCTGCTCTGCGTTGTATTTTCTCTATTTATTTGATCTGTTTACGTTCTGTGTGTCCCACATGGAAGAGCAGTATTCCAGTTTGGGTCTGACTTTTGCTTTGTATGCATGTTCTTTGGGGGTATATTTTCAGTTTAGTTTTTTTTAGAAATAGTAGTTGTTTATTTGCATATGAGATGATGATGTTGATGTGAATGTCCCATTTGAGACTGCTGTGTATTGTAAATCTTGCAGTGTGTGGTTGTGAAAGTGATTTTAAATTTGGTTCGTTTTGTTGATGTGGAGACAAGTAACACTTGTAAGGGTAAAATGCAGTAAGCCAGTCTTGCTCCTGCTTTCCTGCAGCATATATTTCCTGTTGTAATTTGATTGTATCTTCTCTGTTGTTTATTGTTTTGTTTATATAAGTGTCTTTTGCGAAGTGCAGTGCTTTATGTTTTCGGGTAGATCATTCAGTATTGCATACCAAGCAAAGTAATAGAGACCCCCTTTCATCTGTTGATGTATGATTTGTTTTATACAAAGAAATGGGATGCATGCTTATCTACGAATCCCTGCTTCGAATTCAACGTAATATAAATTGATATTTTCACATGTATTAATCATTATTACCTCATACACATATATAATTCAGGATTCAAAGCATAATAATTGATCATGAAAAGTAACTAACTTGAATAATATATATTATACTTATTTTGTTCAATTGATTATTTTTCGGTGAGTTTTATTTGGTAACACATACCAAATCATAGGTTCTGTTTAATAGAATAATTTAATCATTGTATTTTGCTGCATATGCACAGCATAAAGAAATGCGAGTTAATGATTTTTTTCTCGTTTTCAAGCGAGCGATCTGCTTAATGACAAAGGTTTACAAGACAGAGTGGCAGACGAACTTGGCGCAGGCTGGGAATGCGTTTTAACGGCCTTAAAAGTTTCACAGAGCAGAATAGAGAGAATAAAAATAGATAATGTGGGTTCGTCCCTGAACCAGATCACGACGGCTTTGATCGAATGGCGAAACAACTATCCCGAGGACAGGTCAGAAATGGATATGTTAAGAGACTTGTCAGAGGCTTTCCGGGAAAACGATGCCAACAGTGACGTCATAGATGACGAACTGGATCTGTTGACGAGGTCAGACATCAAAGAGTAGATATATTATGTATAATCGAAATTCCATACCCAAGCTCAACTAATGTGAAAACGGCCGTTTGTATTTTTTTAATGGTTTGAATTTATAGAAGCAAATGATTACTACAATTGTTTTGTCATATAGATTAAGTATAGAGAACTGTACATACCAATGGTTGAGTATCAATATGTGTTGAGAAGGAAGGACATTATTTTTGTGAATTAATTACCTGGTAAACATCAACAATAAATTTTGCAAACGATATCATTATCATGACTGGTTTAAAAAGACCGAAAGTATTAGATCTAAATGCGTTTAGCCTTCCGAAATAATATCTAGATTAATACTTTCATCTACTGGTTAGAATGAATTGTTTAGTACAGTTGAATAGGTAAATTAAATCCATCCCCAATATCATCTAGGTTAGGTACCTTACATAATCCTGCTTCTTGTGATATATTGATACTTGTATATATGTTCGTGTGACTCTACAAAATGGAGGAATTAATAAATTTCTCTTTCACGTTATGAAAAAGTCTACTCTTGAAGGATATTGAGAATGGAGAAAACATACACGCTGATGGTAGTATATACATTTATATATGGGACAACGAAGTAAATGCAACAGTATACAACATATAATGTTGTCGATATTACTTTATGTATCTGCATGCACGTTACAGTAAATGCAAAGTTAAGTAGCAGGTAATGTGTAACTCTTGACAGATCAGGTGACTAGAACCCGCTATCAGTCGGTGTATCCCGGCAATTCAGTCCTAAGAATTTTAAAGAAGAAAAGGAATTGATAAACTTTGTTATTCCAGCCTCAGAAGATTGAAAAACATGTAATGGTATCGTTGACTGATACAATTATTGTCACTCCGATCTGGTTTGTATTTCTCCCCTTTTTAAATTTACACAACGCTATCCTTAGACAAAAGGGAGGTAAATCTGATAACCTTCCAGCTTACACACATAGTAGATACATCCTGCTGTACATGTGGTAGGAAGGATGACTGAAAGAATGTCGTTAAATTGTATTGAATACCTCATTTATATCAATGTACACTATGTATAGAATAGGTAAGCCTGAGATTTGATACCGTTATATAATGGGATGTCCAGAGAGAGAAAACAATCCTTGGTAGTCTAGATGTAAGTTGGCAATTTAACCACTGTTACTATTGATAACGTCAGCCAAATATGACAGAATGCAGGACCTAATTCTGACGGAGGAATTCTACTTAATTTACCCACCTTTGTTAAATATTTCTCACGGCATGTTTACTGTAACATTAAGTACCCATTTTCTTTACTGAAAGAATGTTCTCTTCCCGGCTTGACCAGCTCTGTCTTAGCTCATGGCAAGGTTGATGCGTTAAAGTTGAAAACAACATAGCTAAGGCTTCTCCACATCCGACCAACATGTGAAAATAGTCTTTGTATGATTGTTGGGAGTGTATTGGTACTGTAAATACAAAACTGTTTACGCTATCGAATCGGCGAAGAGGCTTATCTGTATATGGATTAATTTAAGGAACTCAGTTTGTATCTCAGTAAGTGTGAAAAACGAATAAATCGTTCAATAAACGTAAACAGTAAATTTTGAAATGTATGCATCATGACATATAACAACTTAACCACGCGACGACGAAATCGGACATCAATGTCGACAACAACACGAACAGGGACCGACGAGAGAAAAAATAAAAACATTGTAACATCCTCTTTTGGTTTTATCATGTTTACTGTCAGACTCCATGGTATGGTTTACGATAGAATTAAGCATGTCTTACAACAGGGCCAGAATACGAACACAGACAAATTAACATGGATGCTTTGAAAAAGTAATAGGAGATTAGACCAGGTGTTCCGGGAAGACAAGCGTCTTCTGTTTCATCGACGGCTCCCGCCATGTATCTCTAAGTCGTATTCAAGTTACTTTCTCACATCGAGAACTCAATCAAACACATCGACCATCATATCACACAGAGAAATAGTGTGATCTGTGTGATCGTGAAAGGGACCGTTAAACCTGTCACAAATCTTCATTAAACTAATTCTTTGTTGACCCTGTGTTGTACGTGTATCCATCAGCAGTCGTAATATATCACCGTAGCTAGGGGAACAGAGATGATACTGTGAAGAAAGGAAAGGTTCAATATCAAAAAGTCAAAATCGTCCTGTGTAATGCACAGCATAGTAGTAAACCGTCCCTGTTGGTCATGTGTAAGTGAAGATCTGGGAAAGTGGCTGTAGTAGCAGTCTGTGGTGTCCTAGATTTCAAGCTACAAATCAGAATGCGAAATTGAATGATTTGACGAGGCTTTTGCTACCGGTCCTGATCAGCTTATCAATTAAATCAGTTTCGTATCAAAACAAAAAAACCAACTTGGTCAGAAAAGGGGCACAGTTTGTTTCCGAGGAAATTTCTGCAGTCTGTTGGAAATGTTGCCATCGAACTCAACATAGATATCGTAAACCAGGAACTCGATCATTCTCACAATATCGTCATCAGTTTGTGTTCCATTTTGACCTTTGATGCACTTTTTTTTATATCAAAAATGCTCCAAAAGAATTTACAGCCATCTATTTAAACCGCCGTTCGCCTCACCTTTCTTTTAACGAGAGGACGAATGCGTTCCTTCGGTTTGGTTTGAGGTTTAGTGGTTAATAGTGTTGAAAAGTCGAATGTTTTGATATCTTGAGTATACATGTCACTCCGCATTAAAGCCATTTTGGTCTCTGTGGAGTATACCATACAGATAGATAGATCACAATACGACTGCAACCCTGATTTAACCAAATTAAATAAAGTTTTAATATGGATACCCTGGAGAATGAATACAGAACAATATCTATAACTTGTCAATAGCTTTAATCAATTTGCATCACTTGATACCCTGTTGTGTAAGTTTGTCTGAGATCACTTGGCATCTTTACCAGAGGTCTTGATATTTGGAGTCAGCCCATGTATATCGTATTAGCAGCGACTTGTAAACACTAGATGGTGGAGAGAGAAATACTAATGGATAAACTCAGGGCCGGACAATTGATAGCTTATCTCTAAGCGGCTGATGAAGAAGAGTCTGTATTGTCCATGCTTTCATGTGTAGGAGGATATATCCGAATGTCGTTGTCAATGAATAGTTATTTAAAATAAAAGACAATACTCAATCGATTTATCTGAATATTGAGTTGGCAGACTTTCAAGATCAACTCTTCGACAAATTTAACCTGACATGAAAACAAATACAAATCGTGCAAGGGGGGNGGGGGGGGGCAGAGTGTGTCCTCATTGGTACCTCGATCTTACAACAATAGGGAAGGCTCGATACCTCTCTGTACGACAAGCGATACTACTACGGGTCATACCTGGAAGGCGTCCCATTATTTGGATTTGATCTAGATTTAGAAGATGCTGACCCTTCCGCAACACCGGTCCTATTTTCCTTGTATTTAATCAGTGGTCTCAATGTTAATATTTCGTTTCGTTTGTATTTAGACCTTGTTATCTCGATGTTGAGTGTGAATCACGAATACTTGTACTCTGCCGCGTGGGTGGAGAATATATTATGTTCAACATAAACTATGCTGTCGGACTTTTATGGCGCCACAATCAAGGAAAATGCCAAACACTAAAAGTTTCCAACTTTATTTTTATTTTTTTACATCCATTTGTAATGAACTTTGTATTTCTATTGATTCTATTCTGAAAGGGGTTATTTCTTCACTAGATTTATTTTATATATTCAGTCGTACAAATATGAATATATTTAATTTCAATTTCACTTTATTGCCCTATGTATCAGCTATATTTAATTTTGCTGTGTTGTCCAATACATTAGCTATATTTAATGTCATAGTGTTGTCCAATACATTAGCTATATTTAATTACGCACTGGTGTTCAATACATTAGCTATATTTAGCTCCTAATATACAAATCATTGTGAATTTATAATGAAAAAATGTTACATTGTCTTCGAACACGTGGTTAACCAGCTGAAATATTCATTTACAATAGACTGTTTGTCCCTAGCTTATTTTAGTATGTGGTGTAATGTACAGTGGTGTTCAAGTAAGCAGCACTAGATCATCACCCACTTCCGATACTTAACACAATGAAGGAATCAGTAGTATGGTATCATACCATATGGTGTGACACCCTCGCTTGCCCACTGTAACGACCCTGTGTTAGATACAGAGTCGTCGCTAAACCTGTATGATGATGAAACTATAGTATGGTACACAATCTACACTAAGAGACGCTGGTATGAAGCCTCGAGGTATTCGCCAATCACACGTGGTACACAATCTACGCTAAGAGACGCTGATATGAAGCCTCGAGATTTTCTCCAATCACACGTGGTGAACTTCTTTTAATGTTTTAATATAAATACAGAGTCGTCGCTAAACCTGTATGATGATGAAACTATATTATAGTACACAGCCTCGAGGTATTCGCCAATCACACGTGGTACACCATCTACACTAAGAGACGCTGATATGAAGCCTCGAGGTATTCGCCAATCACACGTGGTGAACTTTAATGTTGTAATATAAATAAATGTACTGGTTGACACTGTTTTGCTCCTGCATTGATTAATTTGTTGCAAGTTTAATGATGTTATTATTTTGGTGTAAATTCACTTCCTCTTGTCTTTTTTTCACAACTCTGATTTCGTTTTTAGTCCTTGTAACTTGAAGGTATGATACTTGCCTATTTTAGATAAGAGAGAGACAGACAAACAGAGAGAGAGAGACTGAAGCAGAGATAGACACACAGAGACAGACAGACAAGGCAGAGACAACATCCGATAACATCCTGGCATTTTCGTATTTGCGGTGTGACTTGGGATGACAGGACAGGACCAGATTAATAGATAGTGTGTTTATTCCTACCAATATATAAATTATGTATCAGGAATGATTCATAGCCAAATGCGAACATTTTTCATGTTCCCATTGACGTAATACGACGGTGTAACTCAGGACAAATCCACGGCAACCATGAATGACAAGCGCAGTATTGGTTCTAATAAGTATACGTTTTACTCGCTATTTATAGCAAACAAAGACAACTAATGACCCGAGTGATTGCTCTCAGGCATGAGGTTGGCTTTAATTGCCCGCTATTGTCTCCACGGCGGTGTCGTCCCAAGTTTCTGCCGTGATATCTACACGATCTGAAGCCATTGTTCTAGTCTCCTCGTCCAACAGATAGGTCGTGTCCGATCTTTATCAATCTGTGTCCAGGTTTCCTACGGAGGCCAAGAGTGACCTCACTTCCGGTGTCATAGCATATCTACACAGTATTCTCCACAGGAGCGTTGTATCTATGGCTTACCAAAACGGTTTGTAGTCCACTTTGTCCATATTCAGCAGGTATATTAAACAAATCACATCTCCAGTTTATCAATCTTCGTCGTGTCCTTTTCAACTTGATAGCCGACACGCATTTCCATTTGTCGTCAGTTCCAGTATTGAAATAATACTTCATTGCAAAAAACACCGAGCACATCAAAACGTACTTTCTGCTTGTCATCCTTCAGAAGAGGTCATATAGTGTTCATGATATTTTTCTGTGAAGCTGTCAGAGCATAATTACCATATAAAAGTAGTTATAGTATATGAAGGCACGGTAGTCAAGTTGTAGGACGCCTGACTTGTGACCGAAGGGTCATAGGTTTGAATCCCTTCATGGCAATATGTTGTACCTTATGCAAGATACTTTACTCCGCTTGTTCTAGTCTACTCAGCTGTAAATGAGTACGTGGTTAGGCAGTGCTGGAATTGTTAATAATAAACTGTGAGCGCCTAAATGTCAGCACCGACTGTATGCTCCACCTGGGAGTTGAGACAGTAAGTGGCTGGTTGCAAAGAACAAATAACCTAATATAATAGTTTGTGACGACATAGGTTGTAATAGAGCGGTGTATAAGAACCTCAGATAAGGATTTTTTTTACATACTGGCAAATAGAGATGGCAATAAGATGATTGAAGAAATGATATCACGTTTTGCTGTACCCAACACAATTGGATCAATGTTTTTATATTTTACCTTGACCGAAATAATTAGATCCCATGTTAATTTTTGACAAAAATGACATTTCATTATCGTCTAGGATGACCGGTATTATTATAGAGATATGAAAACAAGGTGGCACAACTAGTGAACGAATGACTGATCCGTCTGGGCCACTGTAGTAGTTCTATACGTATATGGAGTCGATCACGGTAAGGCTCCCACTGAGACAAAGCACAGAGTGCGGTCATGTGATCCAAGACGCGGTCATGTGATCTGGTGTAGTCCCGATCTGATACAGTGTTTATAGGGGCGCCTGTACACAAGACGTCGTTGAAGTCAACTCGTAATTAAATATACCCCACCATCAAACTTAACCGTTTTTATTTATATTAGATTGTAGAAGTAACAGTCTATGTCATTACCAAAGTAATGTCGACTTGTGTGTATTGTCACAGCCAAGGAACCACATAAAACTAAGCAACTTATCACTCTGCCTGCCCGTTCGTATTAAAAAGCAAATTTATCGTCAGCTGAAAGTGCAATGAAATGCTTTGTGGGTATTTTTTCGGTTTTACATAATTTTTGGAAAATGTTCTTTATTATCGTCCGTTACATATTAAAAATGATGTACATATTCAATTCTTTACCGGCAACTTACTTTAAATAATACGGAGAAAAATCACAACAGGACTCCTGTA